AAAGAATATTGAACTTCCCGCATATATGCTTTCAAAAATTATTTCTCAAATTAATGTAAAAGATAAGTTTCAATTAAAATTTTGATACTCATCGAATTCCTATGTTGCAGAACCAATTTTGTTGGAGATTCGAGACACAAACCCCATCCCACTACACATTACTTTCAGAAGTAATTCCTTTCTTTTTCATACACATGTTGCTAGGTAGGTGACAAGACAAAATCTCCATTTTTTATTTATTTCTTTTGTTTATATCCTTTCGACTGATATGTTAGTACATGGACATTTATTTTATAGTATAGAAAAGTAGCGTAAATTGGAACAATATGCTATCTGCTGTAACAATGTACCTCATATTTTCCAACAGACACCAATATCGTGCGCAACGTCATTATTATTCTACATGAAATAAATCATAATACCTCGACATCATAAGGCTAAAATTTGTATTTGAAGATGTCGATTTCAAAGTGGACAGCTCGTAAAATATTTAACAAATTTTAAAAATTATTGTACATGTATATTATATGATAATAATTCATTGTTATATTTTTACATTAATTATCCAAATTTCAACTGTTTTTATCAAATGAACAAAATATGCGATATTTTAATCGTTTGCACGAAGTACACGAACACTGTAAAAATAGTGTTGATTATTTAGATAGACGGAGCTTATAATTCTATCATCTTGAATTGCATTTATACGGCATGGGTTGTTTTCATACAAAATAAAAACAAATGACGGAATCAAATGATTGGTCTTTCAGCCAATAAAAGATCCGCATTTTCATGAATTGAACACATACTGTAAATATATGTCATTGAAAACTTGATACTTTTGCAGTTTTGTAAAAACGATGAATGTTTAAACTTTGATTTCTCTCAAATACTGATCATAATGTTTAACCATTTTGATAGATATCTTTATTTTCCCGCTTCTTGTTTTAATAAATCTTTAAATTGGGTTGATTATTGACCTTGAATGTTTCTTCTCCATTAAATGTCTGTCACAATCCGATACCAGATCTTTTATACGATCTAATCGCAATACTTGATAACCGTTACTTATTCTTTCACTGTTAATTGTCTTGTTATACAGAGTTAAGACCCTTGTTTTATTGTAGACAACCATTACTTACTCTTTCACTGTCAATTGTCTTGATATACAGAGTGAAAGCCCTGAAGGTTGTTTTAATAGTAGACAACATTTACTTACTCTTTCACTGTCAATTGTCTTGATATACAGAGTGAAGGCCCTAAAGATTGATTTAATAGTAGACAACCTTTACCTACTCTTTCACTGTCAATTGTCTTGATATACAGAGTGAAGACCCTGAAGATTGTTTTAATAGTAGACAACCGTAACTTACTCTTTTACTGCCAATTGTCTTGATTATACATTGTGAAGGTTTATGGAGATTGTTTTAATAGTAGACAACCTTTACTTACTCTTTCACTGTCAATTGTCTTGATATACAGAGTGAAGACCCTGAAGATTGTTTTAATAGTAGACTACCGTTACTTACTCTTTCACTGTCAATTGTCTTGATTATACAGAGTGAAGGCCCTGAAGATTGTTTTAATAGAAGAACTAACTATTTCTACAGTGTTGCAAATTGTTTAGAAGTCTTACAAAAAGCTGCGTGTCTTTTGCGGGTCTGTTTGTCTTAATTGACTGTTATGTTAACTACAGTACCACTTAATCTTATAAAACATATACTATTTAAACTGGGTAACTCTATGTGTTATATTCGTTTCAATTCTTTTAAGAAATACATTTTTATTTATACAAAATACACTTAGTGCACATGTAAATAAATAATATAAACTAAATATGAATGTACACTGTTATACTTGTGTATACTGCAAAGTAATTGGTATTACGGCAAATTGCATTTTATGGCTATATTTTACAAGAACTCAACGAAACATCTCTTGATGATATTTCTTACATGCAAGCAGATATTCAGAAAACATATTCTATGTGAGCAGTACCGAATTTTCTAAATAAACAATTGAAATATACCAACCTCATCCCACCTTTGGTTAAGTTTAAAGTTGGAACCTATCTTTGTCCCTTTTAGATTTATTTACAATCGCTACGATATTTTAGAGCTTGCGTTTCTTTTATTGTCTTCGTGAAAGAGAATTATTGCTTACAAAAGAGAGGCAAAAGATACCACAGGGACATTCAAACTCATGAGTCAAAAATAAATTCTGACAACGGCGTATCTAAAAAAGAAAAAGACCAAAAGGGAAACAACAGTATACAATACAAAACACAGAAAACTAAAGACTGAGCAACACGAACCCCACTAAAAACCAGGGGTGATCTCATGTGCTCCGAAGAATGCCTGTACAAGGGACTATGGACTGCTTACCCTTCAGATGCATCCTATTTCACCAAATGTCTAGTATAAATTAAAAGTGGGTTTCGGGATAGTTTATTCCGTACATGAATTTACGGTTACTGGTTCATTATTTCACTTTCATTTGCAAAGTGCCCAAAACCAGTCAGGAGGTTGACATGCATCTTTGCAGATACTTCAACCCCCCGCCCCACCCAACTTAGAAGATTAATATCGATATGTGTTTTTAATGTAATCCCGCGGATAAGATTAAGACTAGAGAGTATTTGTGACAGCGATATTTTCCTCTTTGTTTTATTTCGTTGAAATTCAAACTTGATCTAAAAGCAAACGACTATTGTTCTTCAAATTTGTTAGTTTACATGTTTAAAAGACATTCATCCATTTTAATCCTAGCATTGTCCAACTCTTGTTATCAGATATATGTTTTTAATTTGTATTATTTGTTTATAGTATACGTGACAAATTTCATTATTACATGAAGTTATGATTAAGTAAGATTACGTAACTCATATTATATCGTTTCTATGCGAATTGTTAGTTGGATACCAGCGGTCAAGCTGTATGGACGCCGTGCATTTTACAGTGAAATTCATTGTATTTAGTATAGAACATTTATTTTTTTTTTTTTTTATTCAACAACAACTAATTGCACTTTCTGCTGTTAACAATGTACTTCACTAGTCCAGCATTCCAGTAAAGAGTCCCTGTTTGTTAATACCAGAAATCCAGGGTTGTTTCTGGTAAGCATCATTATATTAAATTAACATTAGTTTTAATTTAACAGTTAAATTATAAAATTATCAGCAATGAAATTAACAAGTATATATCAATGGTACTTATTTGTTTAACAATTTACTATATATATCATCTAGCAATAATTGATTTTTGGGTATTGTTTCCGGAAATTTTTCATATTTTCTCCGTAAACGTACGGGTGAATTGTTTTTCTATCAAACATCTTCCTGGTTTTGAAACAAATATTGTCACACCGGCCATGACTTAAAAAATAAAAAAATAAACAGATGTGATATAGCATATTCACAGGTATGTCTGAATTAAAAATTTTCTGTAGTATAAAGAAGATTAAGATTAAATAAATATTTCATTTTTTAATCTTCTTTTTGTAACGGTAAATAGTCTCGTTATCAATCATTTCAATCATCACATGTACATGTACAGTAGCGGTGAAAGGTAAAATTTATATTACTTGATCAGTTCCAGATGTGTAATTCGTAAAATTATAGAACATTTATTGGAATTGTTTTGCACTATTGAGGAAGTTATATATAAACCATCGTAAAGCTTTAGTTAGTTTTGTTGACTTTTAGCAAGTGAGTTTCCCCCCGAATTCTTAATATAACAGGAACGACGAAAACCCCTGTTATAAATTGGTGGAGGACCCGGGCAGTTTGCTTAGTTTCACACTTATTAGACAAACTGTACACAAGATCATACCTACGCTCTACAACTTCATAATGGATTACAAATTGAGACAAATATTTAATTGGTGGTGTCCACCTGAGCTTAGGAAGAAATGCAAGATGAACAATTAGCCATTGTTCGTAGAAAACGGTTACAATCCAGAACGTTCGGATTTTCTTCGGGTCATCATTTCAAATATCTACAAAACAGTGAGGTGTTTTCGCTGTGAACAAACAGGACATTTTTGAAAACAATGTAGTGCAGAAATCAGAATAAAATCAAAGAAAAGGCTAGACAGAGATTTCGAAAATCTTTCCTTATTTATACAGCGTAAAACTTGTGATAATTTACCTTTCTTCATCTTGGACGGGTCTTGGACGATGCAGAATTTCGTAAAGCAACACGGACAAATTCAATTCTACATTTCCAGGTAAATTTACTTTAAATGAATCAAACCGTTGAACTTTTATTGTAATTGTTTTGCACAATTTAGGTAGTTATATATAAACCATCGTAAAGCTTAAGTTAGTTTTGTTGACTTTAGCCAGTGAGTTTCCCCCCGAATTCTAATATAACAGGAACGACGAAAACCCCTGTTATATATTCTTAAAAAATATATATGTTTTAAATTACCTTCAATATGAATTTACAGACTGCAAGCTGGATCAGTATGGCGAAAGCTACGATGGTCAAATTAATACAACACTTTCTGGACGTACCTGTCAAAACTGGAAACTACAAAGTCCCCATAGTCACAACCGCAATCCCTACGATCATAATTATTGTAGAAACCCATCACAGGATTATCCAGGCCCATGGTGTTACACAACAGACAGTGATGTTCGATTTGAATACTGCCCTGTCTACTTTTGTGGAACAAGTAAGTATGTTGTCCTGAAATGGGCATTAGACAACAAAAAAAGAAATGTGATTTAGTTTGTTTCAAACATTTATAAAAGCGAAATTTTCTATAGAAATAATATTTCGCTATCATCAGTCAGTTTCGTTCATATTCGTCAAAATAAGTTAAAAAAAACATTCCTGGTGTATTATTGGTTTGTAAGTCAATAATTCAACCTCATTGGAATCTGTATTCATTCAAACTTTTAAGTTGTCCTTAGTGGAGATTGGTTGCGCAAGTGTTTAACATGTTTTTATTAATAAAAAAAGAAAAGAATGTCAATATTGAAAATTTAAACAAGGATGACGACAGAAATAACCATTTCGTTGACTGATCCATCCCACAAAAATAATTCTTATACAGGTAAAAAGCTGATATACAGATATTCTAATCTACAACATGAAATCAAATAGATCTACAGAAATCGTCATTATACGATTCCATGTGCTTGATTTTCTATTTATATTTATCTTTATGTTTAAATAAAGTTATATGTCCGTCGGCATTCTTCGGAGGTCATCTCGAATTCTTGATTGATAATTAGAAGGCGTCTAGTCTAAAATACGCACGAAATGCTGGTACATTATAACGATACATTGTTGATTGTTTCTTTAGCACTTATTGTAATTTGAATATACGATTAGTATGATACAAATCAAATATGAGTTTTGCCTCAAAGCGGTGAACATGAATTTGACGATTAATGCCCCTTAACTCTTGTGAAATCCATAGCATTTGTCTGTCTTCTTGTAAATAATGGCTGCACACACACACATTTCAGTTGCACAATGGCTGTTCGTTTATTCGATTTTTATGTTTACTTATTTCAGATTGCAGTACGGGATTTTTCCGTTGTAAAGATGGGAAATGTATCATTGATTTCTGGCGATGTAATGGAATTGCTGATTGTGCTAGGTCTGAAGATGAAAGTTTTTGTGATGAAAGTAAGTGCTTCTCTGTTGGAAGTTTGAAGTTTTTTTTTTTTATTTCATTAATTGTGATTCTTTTACAACCGTAGCGAAAAATACAAGTAACTTCAGTATTGCTCATTTTGGTTACTAATCCACATGCTCAATTGAAAGATCAAATACATGGTCTCAATAGACAGAGCATTTTCTACAAAAATTTGAATCGTAGATACAAATATTTTTATATTTCTTGTTCTAAGTCATGAAAAATCTTCATGAAAAACTGCACTGATTCCAAAAATAAATTCACCGAGGATGGTATCATCAAAATTCTGTACTTTTTTATCGATAACATATTCGTTGAGTTTGGTGAATTGATATTTTATCAGAAAGTCGGTATTCCAATTGGTGCTAATTGTGGACCCCTACTGGCGAACTTGTTTTGTTATTATGTAGCAAAATTCATACAAAACCTTTCTAAAAGACAAAACAAAGAAAAAACATCTTGCAAAATTCTTTAATTTAACTTTCAGATATATTAATGATGTCTTGTCACTCAATAACCCACATTTCAATAGGCGCTTGCATCTCATATATCCCAATGTGTTTTTATCATGGCGGGTGAAACATGCATAGCAGAAGACACTTACCCTGTCGACACATCTGTTCTCGATACTTTTGAAGTTTGTGCGATTCCTTCAGATTTTGTTTTACCTTGATTTGTATCTGCTTAATAGATTAATGAGATCTGAACATCTGTGAAATACTGTTGCTTTTTATTTAATAAAGTGAATGTTTAGAAAGAAGCCTTGTTAGAAGTGTGGAAAATATTTTAGGTTCCAGTTTTTACTCAATTTTAGTTATCTCCATTTAGTACGGTGACAAGTAAGGTAAATTTAAAAATTTAATGGACCGAAATACCTCACGGCTAATTTTTGTCTTATTTTGAAGATAAATATAATGCCCTTTGATTAAGGCATGTCGTAGAGTGCCAAAGTGGTACAGATTTTTGAAAATTGTGGTCAAACGTCAAAAGAGGGGATTTAAAAAAAATTTGGACATTTTGGACAATTTCTCGGTAGTCCCTCATGATAGCTGAAAAAAAATTTTCTATGGAATCATGCTCCGGGAATGCTCCACAAATTCAGCTAATCATATTCATGCCTGATTACCAGAGATTAGTTATGTATACTTTTATATATACTTGTTTATAAAACAAGACGAACAATGGCATATATAGCAGACTTGACTAAAACCGATTTGAAAGTACGATATATATGTGAATAACAAACAAACACGATTCACAGAGATATTAAACTACACATGAAGCTGTCTAGTTTTATAATATACTAACACTAGACATTAATATGCACGTCCATTTGAAAAGGTAACGGAATACTAAGAAAAAAATATGTGGATATCATGGTATGCAATACTTCCGATACAAATATTCGATAGTCATACAAATATATCTCCAATTGATTTGAAAGCGCATCAAACCTCGTCAAGGTCTGAGACCACTGGCATGTTTGTTTGTTTGGTTTTGGTTTGTTTTGATTTTGTTTTTTTAGAGAGAGAGAGCTCCCCAACCACATCAAGTCGGAGACCACTAACAGCAGAAAAACTTGAAATATTGGGCATTGGGAATAATAGTTCAATCATCCTCCTTATCGTAGCAATCTTCTAAAACAATCCGATGAGTAAGCTGGGTTTCTACAATCACCACTGCCCTGATAACAACCAATGTTGGTGCATGACAATTCTGTTCGTAGCATACGCAAGATTTGCTACAAAGAGTTTTATACAAACAAGGTCCTGTAAAAAGTCAGAGGACATTGGATTCAAAATACTAGTATACTGAAACTATGGAGCTATTCCCAATATCCATATTCCAAAGGTAACATAGGTAGTGGTTTGGCGATATAAGCATTCATCCAGACGTACATTTGGAGTGAAACTCGACGAATGTGCTGTCTGAATGATGCATCTGAAGGAGTAAGTTCTCACTAAGTAAGCACCCTTAGAAAGCGACGACTTCACTCTTGAGTTTATTCAGATTACCATGTACTAATTGAGCATTACTTCTGGGGTCATATTGATCAGCGATGAATCGACTTTTCACTGCAACAGATGTGTTAATAACAGAACCAGCTAGATTGACAAACTTTGATACATACACGGGTTTTGTTTCGAAGCCTTGTAATTGTCTTTTTTGCCACTTCCGATTAAAGAAGACGTGATGCATCCTGTAAGAGCATGAGCAGCTGGAAGTGTGCCAGACATCAGTGGTCCAATAACTAAAAAAAAGTTGCACATGTCGTGAACAGGTAAAACCCGTCTTGCGTCTTTGGTTGAAGAAACGCTTCCAGTCAGAAACCAAAATTCATCATGTTTGACATCTGAGGAAAAGACCTTATTAGAAATAAAACATAAGTGTCTGATGATTTTAATATAATGCGACCCCTGGAATAACTTTTTACCATCTGCTCATTAGCAAGCAGATACGGCAGAATAATTCTTATATCTGCCTCTTCAGTCACTTACAGATCTAGATCCGTTACAAAATTGAGTCACAGTCTATAGATTTTAAAAAGATCCAGCTAGGAATATTTCGTTATAGTCTTGAAAATCAAAACCATTGTAGTGCGGGAGTGCATAGTCACATACAAATCTTATCAACCCTTGTTTATTTTCAGGTGCACAATTAGAGAAATTTCTTACAATCTTTAATTGATCTTCCTTCAATGACTTGAAGAACCTTAGATCTACCACCATTTGAAATAGACCTTGTTGTCTCTTTGACGCATTCCCCGTTTCCATACTCAATTTTACTCCTTATTCTTTCTACTGATTTTGTAGAATGTTCCATATCATATCGATCAAACACGTACACGACACACCCGAAGTGTTCAAAACAAGCTATTATGGTTTGAAAGCGTCCTTGGCCAAATCTCCAAAACTGTTGTACCTTTTAAAATAAAGACTTTTTACAAAACCCATACCATCTCTGATCAGGGGTGTACTGGTTTTTAATGCAGGGATATCACACACTCAGCTAAATGTATACATTTCCGTATAGTATCACATGAGAGTGCATTATAATCATTATCCATATGAAAATAATTGTCATCTACTAACACGGCAAAAATATTTATCAGAGAGGTAGAAATAAATTGTAAAGCTGTTGGAATACTAAATTTTGACGGAAATAGATAGTAATAATTTGAAATTTCGAACGATCGTAAGCTGTTTTTCACAATTTGTTCCGCATCATGAAGGTTCTAGAAGAAAGGAACAATATGTATCTAGCAAACTATACGACAACGAAAAGACTTTTTTTCACAAACAGTAGACTTTCTGGTAGTTTTTGGAAAGCAACATCATGCTTCGACTGATTTGAAGCATAAGAAGCAAGTTATTTTTTTTATATCAGTCAGTAGTTGCATGCTGAATGATGCAGCGCCTTGTCCTTTGGGTAATCTATTGAGAGTAAACTTACCACTTGGTAGTCTGTCTGGTAATTTGCGTCATTTAAAAAATAATCGGCACGCTCAAATGACTCGACATGCCTTAATTGCTTACCTTGTTGTATGACATTTGTCTGCAGAATAAACATTTGGACTAGTCTAATGATAATGCCATGGAGCATTTTTATAACGAAAGTTGATTTATCACACGCATTGGTTTTTCCCTAATTCACATGTTTAAAAATGTATTCTTCTTGTACATGTATAGGCTTTATAACACGACCTAAGCTAATTTACCTGTTCTTATTGAATGGAATTAGCACTGCCTATATTTTTTTGGATTAATTCGGGTGTGTTCCAATGTGGTTTAAAATCAGTCTATTCGAAAAACTCAACAAGAATAAAAACACCTCAAAAGTAATTAAACCTTAATATCTGTACTTATTCAAAAATCTAGACACAAACATTGATACAAATCTGTATTCTTATTTACAAAAATTAAGAAAATGCATATTTAATTCTTGTAAAAAACACAGCAATTCATAAGTCAGGGGAAAATAGAAAAAGGAAGCGTAACATGACTTACTGAGGTGAATATTGAATAGTAAAACTGCTATATGATGAGTATTATAAAAAGGCTTGTAAAAGTAGATTTGTATGTTCTATCAAACTTTGATATATTAAAACTTCTTAAGTATTGGTTGTTCCACTATTTTTTGTCAAAATCGACTCAGCTTGGTGTATGTAAATAATTTAATATACTTTGGCAGACGGTAAGATTGAAAAAAATGTCACATGCTATTGAAATTCTTCAAATTCACTCTATTTGTATTTTCATATGATATTTAGTTTTGATATTAAATGACAGATGATACATTACTGTTTCATTTCATAGCAAATAATTGCTGATATCTTCATTCAGGAATTAATCATAAGTGTTCCCGTGTTTGATAATGAAAAAGAAATCAAAGTACTGAAGTACTGAACATCGGATGACCGCAAGTTCTGGTGGATGGTCACAAGCACTTGTCTCAGAAAAAAAATCACATCTCTATACCTGAAAGTTAGGTTAAGGAACATAGATATATTTTTTTCTGAGACAAGTTCCTGTGTGGATGATGAATTGATGACAAGGAATTCAACCTCACCGTTATAACTATTATACTGTAGTGATATAATCATTTGTTATCAGTATACTCTGGTTTGTTGTTATATATTATATTAATATTTGTATAACAGTTATATATAATTTTCATACATTTGTATATCATTCTACTATTCTAATGATAGTGCAGTGCAAGTGCATGGTTGACACTCTTCTGTAATAATTTGTTTTTCTAATAGATTGGATTTGAGTAGGCATTCATATTTTCACGCGTTTGTTACAAAACCTTCTTGCGATATTCTTCCGCATGCGTTAACACAAATTTTCGGTATTCTTGAATTGTTATTGATATATATATTTCTCACGACAAAACATTTTCATATCATTTATCTATGTTCTTAAAAATTATTTTCATGAATATTTATTGATGAAGTTAATATATAACAAGCGATAAGGAATGTTATTTTGCACTCGATGATATCCGCGTAATTATACGAAATACGTTCGGTTATCAGTCAAAAACGCAAGTCATGTGGGTAGAAATTCTGCGGCAACATAACACCGGAATGCCCTCACGATCATCCGCTGTAAAAATCGGAAAATCACGCTTTACCGCGATTTTGAAAAAAAACTGCACCGTGGGAAAACTCTACGACAGGGTTAAAATGATAGTATAATGTTTACTCTATCATCGTGTGTATTTTCAGCCGTGAGGTATGTCGGTCCATTAAACTCTTAAAATAAGCGACTTTTCTTGATTTGTCACTCCACTAATTGCCTATGCATTCTTCTCCTTTACAAACATGCTTCGTCACAGTTAAGAAATTTTAAAGACACTTTAGTTTCTTTAGGGCAAAGAAAAATATCTTAATTTGCATTCGGTTTAAGGAAGTGTCAACTCATGTCTAGAAATAAATTAATAACAAGTGGCCACAACGACCAATCAGGTATAGTCATACTCTTAATTCTAATTATTGTACCATGTTATCTACATTAAATGACTGTTTTTTTTTAACCTTCAATTTCATTGATATATATTTATCGTAGCAAAATTCCCCGAGGCATGACCAGACAACCCAATGACTATTAAAGAAAGGGGTGTCATGGATCACAACTAAGATAACTTATTGAAAAGCTAGAATTTACTGTTCATAATGAAAAGCAATTAATTGAAATCAAAAAAGGAAATGAGACAGAACGTTCTGAGGCTTATTAACAATATATATTTTTGTGTGGTTAATTAAAATCATATATAATGGTGAAAATTATTATTGTAGTATCAGAGTGCTTAGAAGATGAAATAGGAGTTTTGTACAGAGGGAGAAGAAACGTTACAGCTTCTGGAATTCCATGCCAGCATTGGTCCTCAACATCCCCACATGATCACTCGTACCTTTTTAATGCAGAAAACTATTGTAGAAATTCAGAGAAAGCAAATGTAGGACCTTGGTGTTACACTCAAGACACAAATGTTCGATGGGATTATTGTGATATACCTGTTTGCTGTAAGAGAATTTCTACTGTTTTTTTCCTATAAAGTCATTCTTGATAAAAATATAATATTATGCATGACATTCAGTTCAAAAAAAAATTCAATAAGAATTATGTACAATTATTATTTCTCTCTATATACAAGTTGACAAGAATTTAGATTAATGTACGAGTTGTTAATAACAGGTAGTTGACATCAAATTAATACGTTCAAGGATAAATCAGAAAATTAAACTACTCGAACGAAGCTAATCAAAAGCTTTGCGACATGCGTATAGATTGTTACTAACAACGAAATCCTCTTTCTCTATAAAAGTAAATTATGAGCAATACGATCAACCACACAAAACAGGGAGTGATATCAGGTCTAAACATAACTAACTAGTATACCAAAAATATACTAGTATGTAAAATAAACAAAATATTGTAAACCTATTAAGTCTGTCAGTCAATCTATCAAGGCAAAAACTGTTTGTTTTAGTTCACTGTTCAATAGAACCACATGATCTACTATCATCACTTTCTTTCCGTCGTCTGTCCTTCGTTATATAATTTCTATTTCCATCATCTCCTCTGAAACCACCAAGTCAATTTAACTTTTTGAAAACTATACGGACATAATAGTATATGTCCAGTGTCTACAGGCACACAAAGGACATGGGTGTCCTTCGTTAGACAATGACAGTTTGGTTAATTGATATTTCAACAAATATTCGGCATTCCAATCAGTATTCACTCTGCATTCCTACTGGTCGTTTTTGTACTTATATAAAGCAGAATTGATAAAAATGAACTTCCCAAAGACGAATGGCATTTGTTTATTTTCTTTTGTTATTTTTGCTTTTTATTTTATTAATTTATTTTGTCCATCTTTGTTTTTTGTTTATAGTATTAAGGTAAGATTTCCGAACACGGACAAATTTTCGGGTTTATAGATAACATGTTATTTAGATTAACTGATTAGTCTCATATATCGAGATGTGTCTCATTTGAAGGAGAGTCTTGCTACAAGAATTAAAACTCTAAGAAGTCTAGATGAAATATTTTCAATGACCGTTAACAGATATAAGAAGATAGAGGCGAAAAGTACTAAAGCATAAGCCAATGACAAACTGACATTCAAACTCATAAGTCGTAAATAAACTGACAACGCCATGGCTAAAACAGAAAAAGACAAACAAATAACAGTATACAAAACACAACATAGAACACTAAAGACTGAGCAATACGAACCTCATCGAAGACTGGTGATGATATAATGTGCTCCGGAAGGGTAAGCAGATCCTGCTTCACATATGGCACCCGTCGTGTTGCTCATTTAAATTTATAATGCATTCGAAGCTTCACATGCATTATGTGTTATGCTGCAAAATTTACCATGTTTTATCTCTTGATATTCTAAAAATTTCTTCACTATTGAGAATTTCTTTTGATAGCTAATGCGAGTACTGCGTCACAACTTGAAACAACTACTATGAAGACTAATATGAAGACTACAGTGTTTTCAACTATGATAAATACACAAACATCAAACACGGAACTGTCATCAGAAACTTTTATTTCAACAGAAGCAACTACTATTGAAGGTAGGATAAGTACTGGCTATTCTTTTATAGTTCTTAATAACAGACCATGGAAAAGTAGTTTCAGAGAAGATCATTGTACATGTTTACGACGACCATGGACGCAAAGTAAAACCAATAGAGTCAACTCCTTGTAGGAATTATGACCCTTAAATTATGGTTTATTTATTTATTTAGTTTGGTGCAGAAATACATTATCAAAGCAATCGTTTTAACCCTTGGTGTTACTGCTTCGTCATCCGATAAGAAACCAAGCATTTCGCACTGTATATTGAAAACATCAATCGACAACATAATAAGATCTACAAATAAGTCATATGATTGATCAATCGACAACTTAATAAGATCTACAAATAAGTCATATGATTGATCAATCGACAACTTAATCAGATCTGCAAATAAGTCATGTGATTGAAAGCATCAATCGACAACTTAATAAGATCTACAAATAAGTCATATGACTGAAAACATCAATCGGCAACTTACATAAGATCTACAAATAATTCATATGATTGACCAATCGACAACTTAATCAGATCTGCAAATAAGTTTTATGATTGATCAATCGACAACTTGATCAGATCTAAAAATAAGTCATATGATTGAAAACATCAATCGACAACTTACATAAGATCTACAAATTAGTCATATGATTGAAAACATCAATCGACAACTTAATAAGATCTTCAAATAAGTCATATGATTAATAAATCGACAACTTAATCAGATCTGCAAATAAGTCATGTGATTGAAAACATCAATCGACAACTTAATAAGATCTACAAATAAGTCATATGATTGAAAACATCAATCGGCAACTTACATAAGATCTACAAATAAGTCATATGATTGATCAATCGACAACTTAATCAGATCTGCAAATAAGTCATATGATTGATCAATCGACAACTTAATCAGATCTGCAAATAAGTCATATGATTGATCAATCGACAACTTAATCAGATCTACAAATAAGTCATATGATTGAAGTCAAATTTATGACTGGGTATTGATTGTTTTGTTGAATACTGTGATATGTAAATATTTGTCAATCAATATGTGACACTATAATAAAATAAATATTTATTTATTTATTATTGAAAACATCAATCGACAACTTAATCAGATCTACAAATAAGTCATATGATTGATCAATCGACAACTTAATCAGATCTACAAATAAGTCATATGATTGAAAACATCAATCGACAACTTAATAAGATCTACAAATATGTCAGATGATAGATCAATCGACAACTCAATCAGATCTGCAAATAAGTCATATGATTGATCAATCAACAACTTACATAAGATCTACAAATAAGTCATATGATTGATCAATCTACAACTTACATAAGATCTACAAATATGCCAGATGATTGATCAATCGACAACTTATATTATGTCGGTATCCCTAAAATATTTTTTTTCATGATTGTCTATTTTCTATAGTATAAAAATGGCTGGATAGAAAAAAAATTTCCAGTTAAAGTGACCAGCAAGACAATATTATGGCTCGTGCACTTTCCTCCAAACACTACTTTGGAGTAAATTTTTCGAAAGGAGAAAGTAAAGAATACAACAATAAAATAAAAAAATAAAAGGAGGTCTTGTCTTTTATCATGCCACTTTCTTACTCATTACCCTTCTGTAAAGAATCACTTCATCGAAAATCAGTTGGAAAATATAAAAATCTATTCGAGATATTTCTCAAGCTCCCATTAGATTCTTTCAGATAGCCTAATAGTCTGAGAATTCTTCTGTTTCAAAGAAGCCATATCTCCGATTGAGTTAACACTTAAGAATGTCAGACCACAGTAAGTACAAAATGTAGATTCGATAGTCATTAATAGTTCGTCCCGAGTGCAAACAATAATACAATGGATAAAAAGTATCCCAGACTAAGAATATTAAAGCAAGAATCATTATCCTTATTTCTAAATTATAAATTTTGTTCTGACATGAGAAGGTTTGATAAATTTTTGGCTTCGTGAATTCGTAAATCGAAGTATCATTATTCTATCAAATACCTTCCTTCAGATATGTACGAAACAGTTTGACAGATATTAGTATTTACATTTATTTAAATTTTGTATTTCATGTCAAATATTATGATTGAAAGCATTTCTAGGTATATATAATATCAAAGGAGTTTGTTTTCTTTATTCTTCAGGTGTAACCGAGGCGACTTGTAACTGTTTATGCCAGAACTTCTCACAATTCAGTTCCACTCCAATGGATTTAAAATTAAGACTAGCTGAACTTGACAGGATTCTTCGTGTCAATAAATATTCGACCAATTTAAACAGAAGAACAAAAACCAGCGCAGCAGACGACCGTGTTTCATCAAAATCTTTTGGTTATATAAGTGTACTTCTTTTGATAGGTGTGGTCTTATTTATTGTATTTCTTGATGTAGTACCTAAACCATCACTTTAGTATACAATTAAAGACTAAATTGATTTTGCTTAAAACTTATAACAGGGAATTTAAATTACTAAAAACAGATAACAGTAAATTAAAATCAATAACAGATAACAGTAACATGATCATGAACATAGTTAATTACAAATAGTAGCATTGGTCTGCGATTTGTTTAATGTTTAAATTCTCTACCAGTATGTTTAATAAAAAAAAAGCATTAGAAAGTTGACACAATATTCAACACTAAATAGATTATTGTTCTTGTTCCACTTGTTAAAAAACAAAATACATACATGTATAAAAGATACGTCAAGTTTTATTAATTCGATTGAAAATATGAAACTCCAACAAGACTGCTACATAGTGACATTCGATGCGAAATAAATTGATGAAATACTAGAAGCCACAAACCGGGCACTGGGCAATATTGATCCAAGCGATTATGAAATCCAAGTTTCCCCCCAAAGCATAGAAGAATAGGCCTATTAAGGCTTATTCTAGAAAACAATGAATTTATTACAATACATTGTACTATGAAACCTTGGACATACTTATGGGAGGAACAACATCCGCTGGATTAGCAGACCTCACGATGTACGTTATTCTCGAGAACATCTTACAACGCTTTCAACATAGAAACAATATGATAATGACATCCAGATTTAGGGATGCCGGCTGGATCATATATATTTATAGAGGCCTGTAGAGGAGCTACATGAGCTAACACTGAGCATTCACACTAAAAGTTTACCTACAAATTTTCATGTAATGAAACAATATGCCTCGACACTGTCATATACAAAGGAGCAAGATTTTTAAAGGTATATAAGACATTAAAACACATATCAAACCAACTGAAACCTTCCAATATCTGCACAGACACAGCTCACATCCAAAAAGTGTTTTCAAGGGATTTATTAAGTGTGCAGTGTTGAGATAATAAGAAACACAAGCAGCAATACTGAATTTGAAAAACAGCTCGAATCTTTCAAAATGTGTCTTCTCAAACGAGAGTATAAAATTCTTTATCAAACACAAAATACAGAAAGGAAAAAATTGCTTAGACAACGCCCAACGAAACAGGATCAACCACTAGTAATGTTAACAAAATTCAACCCGTCTATACAGAAACTAAAAAATATTGTAAGGAAACACTGAAAACCTATTTCACAAAACCCTGAACGTGTGAATATCTAATCATAAGCCTATTTTAGCTTAATTATATAAGAAATAAAAATTTACAAAAACTATTATAAAAGCCTTATGAGGTACAGTTCTTTTGATTTTTCACAACACAATATGATACTGAGCTCTTATAAAATCGATAATTTACTAATTTATCCAAAGACAACCGGTGTATGGCCCAATATAACATACAAAATAAAACGACAAAGCAAAGAAAACACACCAATATAAAACTTATTGAATCGACTACTGATGGAGAGGTTTTCCCCAAACACGACTGAAACACTGGACGTTATACAATTACGGATGCATTTATTTGTAACATTTAATAGGGAAAAGAAACTCATGTTTATATGGTGTGTATGTTACTGGAACCCTTCTCTGAATAATGGAAAACCATAGTACCAGTGGTGAGACCGTAATGTTCAATTTCAACAGAATATATGCTGTCAAAAAGTTAATATTGAAATTTCAATAGCATTTAGCCACAAATACATTTTCAAAATAACAGATAACAAATAATCAAATTGTCTTAAAGCAGCTAACAAGGAATTAATCAATAGCAGTTAACAGCACATATATTTTCAAAATAACATTTAATAAAAGTTTTAAATGCCTAAAACAATAAAAGTTTTAAATGTCTAAAAAACCTTAACAAAATAAGATCTTGCCCCCCCTCTCATATATCATATATCCTATTGATACCCGGTGCAGAAATTTAACACTTTTGGAGATATGGACTGATATCATAGGAAACTCTGTGTTACTGATTCGAATTATAATTAGCTGTTCGTATCCTATAGGAAATAAGAATTATTTGTGTAATTTTGTAAGAGATGTTTTAGATTATTGTTCATATAGAAGTTTACAACTTTTGAAACATTTTATTGTATCAATTTGGGTAAACGTTCACACTGAAGAGTAAAGCTTATTGCAATGGCTTCGAAACTGGAGGTGATATCATCTGATCTTACAGGGTTAATATCTACTGCTCCACATATAAATCCCGTCGTGATGTACATCGTTTAAATTAAGGCAGTAGTTTACCGATGGTTAAATCTCGTTAAACGATTAAAAAGAGACGAGACAAATCAAACAAAAACTCAGGGAATCGCATCAACTCCAGAAGGAGCGTAACCGAGTGCGCCGACAGGATAAACGTATCCTGCTATGCATGCATCGCCCGCCATGCGAATTCACATTCTGTCAAAATGTCACAATCGGGAATAGGACACCATTGTTTAAATTACAGATCAGACGACTCTACCGGTATCTAAAGATCTAAGACCGCCAAAATACGTCGCTAGTTAGTTGAGACACCGACACGTAATTTGTGATGGTAACCGTAAAACGTATGTAGTGTCAATTTCATTCTTTTTTCCTCATAACTCTGTTGGAGTTGTTTTCGTTTAAGAAACACCCCCCTTTAAATGAATCCGTATAGTATAAACATGCAAGGGCGTAACGTATTAGCTGTGATATGTAAATACCATACGATGGAACAGAGTGTATGTTAATGATGAGAAATGGGAAGTTGACAATTGGAAAATTGAAATCATTTCGTTTGTCATAGATTCTAGTTTGAAGCCGATTATTATTGAAATATTGTGGGGTCAGATTAGTTTAAGGACGAAATCGCGACTATTTAACTTTTGTAGAAATGGTATTACTTGAGCTGAATATAACCCTGTAGTTTTTTGTTAGAGTGTTTGTGCTCGCTCGTGAAAGTCACTGAAGTTGACGTAAGGTCGTAAGAAGTATTCACCATAAGATGGTAGGTATGTCTCTCCCTTTACTATGATGCTTACGGTTCTTATAATGTTGTTTTATTGTTCAAACGTAGTTTTGTGTATTGGTTTAAAGTAAACTTTGTTATTTTCGCAGAGTAGTTAGAAGGTAAGATTACAAGAATACCGAACTCAAAGGAAAATTCAGAACGAAAAGTCTCTTATCAAATGGCAAAATCAGAAGCTGAAACACATCAAACGAATGGAAAACAACTGTCATATTCCTGACCTGGTAAAGGCATTTCCTTATGAAGAAAGATGGTGGATCAAACCTGGTTGTATAGCTAGCTAAACCTCTCACTTGTATGACAGTCGCATAGAATACCATTATATTGACAACAATGTGTGAGCAAAACAAACAGACATAATAGGTAAAAATGTCAAAAATTGAGGTACAGCAGTCAACATTGTGTTATAATCTTAATCACTATAAAACAAACAACTATGTCAACAAAGAACAACAAAATGGCACTCTATCGACAAAGCACATTAGCCAAAATAAAACAGACAAGACTACAAAAAATGATCATAGCACAATAACACAATGGCGGGATGTATAAATACCGAGCCACGCCAAAAGGATATTACAAAAAATGGATTAAACAATAAAGGTTAAAAAATATACAAAGACAAATAAAAATAACCTTATAACACGTAATAAAGATGATACACAACGTCAGTACCTAGAATCTATACATCATGTATTATTTGTGAAGTTGATACGGAATATTTATCAACAAGTTCTTGGTATCTTCCGGTGAACTTTTTTTTTAGAAAAAGGACTAGACGAGACGTTCTTTGACATAACCCTGGTTCATCAACTTTCTGCTCAGACACTGGTGGCGTTTTATAAAGTCTGAGTAGCAGTTGCAAGCTCTTGAATACCGAATGAGTTGGGAAATGTATATCCCACATGCCGGTGAAGTTGGTATATTGCTGCTAAGGTGGGGGAAATTTATAATTCCAAAATTAAAATCGTCTCGTTTGGCATAGATTCTGGTACTGAGGTAACCGCTTTTGTCACATGCGAGGTATAAGTCTAAAAATAAGACGGATGAAGCTGTGTCTGTTGTTTCTTTAATTTCTAGTTCTGGAGGATATATTAATGAAACCCAATCAGAAAAGTTTGGATGGTTAATGGAAAGAACATCATCAATATATCTGAATGTGAAATTAAATGATCTGGCTTCTTTGATCTTCTTGTTTTTGACAAGTGTCTGAAGGAACTCCGACTCATTTTTTTGGTGGGAGAAGGGTTTGGGGTTAAATTTGAAATATCGGAGTTGATGATAAATCTTGTTGGTTACTGTTTCAAGTATTCATTAGCGTTTTAGACTCGGGACTATTGAGATAATTTGCGTCGTTGGGTTGCTGTCTCGTTGGCGTGCAACGTGTCTGATACGCTATAGCAGTCAAATGCTTGGCGATGACGTTTCAACAGAAAAACAGTTCGACATTATTTGTACGTGACATATATTTAAACAACTTCAGTTTGATAATAAGACTTTAGTCTGAATCTATAAAATTCAATATCATAATAGTAGAAATATGCAATTCATTGATAGGTGCTATGCAATTGTCCTAAATGAACTTAGTCCCGGCTTTTAATTTCAATGTTTATCTTAAACAAACAATAATAAAACTTTTAAAAAATCGAATAAGTATCTATAATGTAACATCACATGAATTTATACAAATAACTTTACCAAATTGTTAAGACGTTTATAAGTCGTGAAAATTGGTTTCATGCGTATTTCTGGATTTATGTTTTTGGAAAGAAATCTAATTAGCGAAAATATCATATACCCATACTGATTAACTTTTTTAAAGATCTTTCATTTCCATTCTGTATTTATATTGATTTTTAATATGCTTTGTTTAGTAAATATGTTATCCCATTTTTTTATGTGCTATAAACATCAACTACCCAATTAAGTAAGGAAATGGGGATACACTTCAGTCAACAACTAGTCCAAATAACATAAGTTTAACAAAAATAGAAATATATGGACGTTCCGTAAATACCCAGTCTGACAAGGATATATCTGCTTAATTACACTGAATTTGAATAGAGAAAAACATAAGAACTATGTTGATTCC